TGTCCCATTAAAATTGGTCACATCAAAATGTGAACTCCACCGGAATACACTGGTTGGTTGTTTTTTAAAAGTTTGAGACCCATCCTAACACATGACCAATTTTAATTGGACACCTGATGCAAATTTGCATTAGGTGTCTTGAAGCAATAATTTTTTGGAATACAGCTTGGATCGAAAACAAACGGAACAGTAATTATATTACCCAGGGAACTTTGATTCATTAAAAAAATGATGTAAAATAATGCTACGAAAAAGTGAGTGTCGCCGCGTGCCTAATGGATGAATTTGGTTAAAACTCTCAACAACCAAATCATTTATTGCCAAGCCTGAAATGGTCTCGAACATTTGCATTTATATCCTTTTCACTTATCAAGTTAATTTGAACAGTAAAAATCCTCAATCACAATCATAAATTCCATAAAATGCAAGAAATTAAATCTTTACTCTTCAAAACATGAAAATAACAGCTAGTATAGGAATAATTGCATAATGAACTTAACCATAATAATTGTAGAGAACCTACATCCAATCATTCGTGATTCCATGTGTAGAATTGATGAGAATGAATTTTTCTGCATTTATTTGAGTTATGCATATAATCTCATAGCAACTAGCTCAATTAAATTTGGCAGAGATGATATAAATCTAATAGATCCACGAGACATTGAGAAATAAAATTACCAAAACTTACAAACCACCAAAAACTTTGCTTACAATAATGGGCAATATGGGGGGGTGTGGGGGGTGTTTAGCATCCAAAGAAAAAAAAATCATCAGTCAAGGCATTAATAATAAGAGAGTTTTTCTTTTTTGAAACTATATTTCCAGGAAACAATTTCATGTAGCCATGCATACCTTCAGGTGGTCAGATCCACTCCGGCCTTAAGAAAGTTCTATCATGTCCATGCACTCTATGAAGAAGAGACCAACGATGCAGCGGATATCCACGCTTCATAAAGACCGTGATCTTTAACCCTGGAAAGATAAAAATGTTTAGCTATATCTGCAAGCAAAGAAAGATGCAGTTTGACATTCATCATTATCATCAGCTGCAGCGAACTAATCACAATTATTTATTTATTTATTTTGTAACTCTATTATTGAGGACTAGCTCTAGCTCGGAACAAAATTATGCATAAATTGCGGTTTTTTTTCTCCATTTTCTATCTAATCATAAGGATGATGTTGGTGTTAACGATATGTTCTCTAATGTTTTAATTAACTTGAAACATTTAGAGCCTATTTAAAATCAATTTTATTACTATTTTTCCCTTTAAATATATATTTGTTTGGTGAGTTTTTCATTTATTCTTGTTTTTTATTTTTAGTTGTTCTTGAAATCACTCAAAATGACTAAAAAATAAGTTATTTTTATTTTCAATATGACAAATATATTTTATTTCAAATCAGAACAAAACAAAAACATGAAATGGAAAATAAAAAATAACGTGAACACAAACAGCCCCTAAGATTATTGTTTCAAGTGGATTTGATTCAACTCTCCTTAGTTCAGCTATTTTTTATCCCTATTTTAGTAGGATTTCTACAAAAAGGATCACTATTCATTATTTTGACAGAATATCCACTGATTATGTGTTCACACAAAAGAAAATACACATTGGATTTGGGTGGTGTGTATGTAAATGACCCTAAAAATTAAAATAACTTCTAGAATTGAGCAGCTCCCCGCTACAACCTGCAGGAATGACAGGACCCCGCATTCCTTAATCTCACGCCGTCGCGCTCTTTTTAGTCCCACGTCCAGAATAACGTCTAGGTAAGTTGTGAGAAATGATTTTAAAAGCAAAAACTAAGCATTTCCCATACAAAAAATTAAAAAAAAAACAAAAAAATGGCACGGAAATGAAGTATTCAAACCATGTTCAGTAAAAATAACAATTTTTTAAAATATAATAATTTTATTAATTATATCGAGCCGAACACGAACTTAATTCGAGCGAACGAGTTTGGATCAAGCTGAATACAAACAGGCTAATCAAGAGTCAGTTCAAACATGAGCTGAACATAAGCCTAAAAAAAAAAAAATAGTTCAAGCATGAGCTGAACATGAGCGAAAAAAAAAAATTGAACAAGCGAACACGAACAAGCCTCAAGCTCGCTTAAGTTCAGCTCTTTTACACCCCTAGACCCAACTGAAATATGCTCGACTCCAAATCCGACCCGAGCATTAAAATATTTGGCCTAAACCAACCTAACCTGAGCCCGACTCATCTAACCATTTTATTATATAGATTATATATATTTTTAGATTAACACAACTTAATTAACCTAAATATAACATGTTTAGTCCAATTAAAATCCCTGAGCCCGACTCATCTAACCATTTTATTATCTAGATTATATATTTTTTTAGATTAACACAACTTAACCTAAATATAACATGTTTAGTCCAATTAAAATATTCAGAATCCACTTAACCAAAACAAAAATAATTTCAAATTAATTTTGGGTTATTTAAATATGCCCAAACATGAGCCAAATAACAATCAAGGATATAACTTAAACCTCAACTCTATACAAACAGTAATCGGATCAACTCAAAATCGAATTTTTCAAGTTGAATTTAAGTTTGGTTGAGCTGACAAAATGGAATTTTATACAAAGAGTATACTTGAACCGACAAAATGGAATCTAATAAACTCATCAATTTTTCTAAACATGTTTTCCTACTAGAAGAAACCCAAATGAGCCCTTGGACTGATGGATTGATAGGAAATGTGCACTTCTATTTTATAAATTAAATTAGTCTTTTTGTCGATCAAAAAATACTCCCCATAAATGTTAAAACTATCTGCATTGTTCACCATTTCACTAACACCTGATCGGAATGATCCGCTTTTAAAATAACATGCAGAACAATTTAGTAAAGGATTATGAGTATTGACAACATATCTTACATGAACATGTACATTTTTAAAATGACCATGCAAATGATTAAAACCGACGAGTAAAATCCATAAATCAACCGAAGGCATGATGCAATGCATGCTTACATCCGATAAAAACTGAAACAATATATACAAAGTGCAAAGATGCACCCTACTATAGTAAAGGATTAACTTATATTGCTCCCAGAAATTTCCTAGAGAATCTGTCACAGAGATCAAGAAGGATAAAAATAGCATAAAAAATCCAAAAAAAAATTACAATTCAATGCAAAGCACTTACAAGTAAATATCTCCTTGCTCAAACTCTTTGAAAATATTGGCATAAAAACGAAAACCCTCTGGACTGACATCTCTGCACAAAAGACCTGGAAAAAGAAAAGATTGAAAACTCATGGAACTATGTAAGCTGCTGCAATTCTTTAAAACAAAGAGTTGATATTTGTATATACCTCTATTTTCAGCGTTTAACAGGTGTTCTTTGGCAAGAGCTGGTGCAATACCTAGTGTTAAAGCTGCATCACTGGGACTTATGCCCTTTTTCAGAGCATCTGGCTTCTGTGCAAGAGAGGCTATTCTTGTAAAAACCTACATCATATAAAACATTAGCAACTTATGAAAAAAAAATGTTCATTAAATTTCTGCAAAAAAAGTGGAGAGACAGTATACAGCAAATATTTTAGGTGCATGTTTTCCATAAAGGAGCCAGACCCCTAGTTCGACACATATAATCATTATAATAAAAGTCTCTTTAAGGCGACTAAATTAGGGGATTAAGTGTATGCAACACAAGTAAGCGAAAACCTGATTGGAACAAAAAGTTATTCCATGATGTTGGACCAATAAAATGTTTGCAGTCATCTAAAAAACACATTTCAGCCCAGAGAGTTACAACTTACAACCTGATATATAAGTTGTATTTACTCAGCTAATTATAAAAATGATCACAAGTGATGTTTCAGGACTGATTACCCCAATCAAATTGTTAAGAAAAGCGTGTCTTGCTCAGCACATGGGGATCACAATCACTATTCTTTAGTTAGTTTCGTAATGGGAGTTTTCAGAAGTAGAAGCTTATGCTTAAAAATAACAGAGCGCTTAATTAACTACATAAAGAATGAAAATCAGCAATTCTGATAAAAATAATGCTCTGATGTCAGGAAGGTTCATGAGGGAATGTTATAGCTAGAAAAAAGTTGACAGGCTGTTCCAAACTAATAAGAAGAGGAATATTCACAGATGATGAACTTGAGAGCAACGCAATACAAAAAATCGGGGTGAAGGAAAAAAAAAAGGCAGATGATGCTCTCAACAACTTAATGGAAGTGATTAAAGCAATAGAGAAACTAAATCAAAAGAGGTTTAAGATAAATATCTACTTGAAGTAAAATGATCTCAATGTAGCCATTGTGAGAATACTTCAAATTGAAGTGGAAGTGATTAAAGCAATAGAGAAACTAAATCGAAAGAGGTTTAAGATAGATATCTACTTGAAGTAAAATGACCTCAATGTAGCCATTGTGAGAATACTTCAAATTGAACATGCTATGACAATTATCATGTAAACCACCATCTAGAATACAAAAAGGGGTGCACCTTATCAGAAAAAAGAATGGTAGGATGCCAAAAAACCCTTCAAGCCTATCTAATAGCCATTGGTGCCTTCGACCTGATGTAGCCGTTGTTAGATTGCATAACTGTGGGAGACAATATTTTCAACAAATGGCAATGGATTTCATCTATCACTGTCAAAAAACTTTCCTTCTATGAATCATCCATGTTCAACTCAATTACTTTTTTTGACACAAATATGAACACGATAATAGTTAAGCTGAACATGAATAACTCTTTCAACCATTTTTGCAAGCTCAATCACTTGAGCCAAATATGAACATGAACAAAATTGATCATGCCAACTCGATAGTTGCTCAATGGGATGGGAACATTTATCCTATCAGATATGTTACCATCTATTTAATCATCATAGCAAACTACTAATTTCTAATTCCCAGGAAGCAACACTAGGGCAACAAATGAAATCAAGTCAAGCCGAATAGGAGCTTGCTCAAGCTTGAGCTCATTTCCAGAAACCTCAAGCACAATCAAAGTATTTGCAGTCCCTTTCAAAATCAATTCATTTAAAGTTATTGGTGCCCGAGCTTAGTTTGAGTTAAGCTCATTATCTAATCAAACAAACATATTAACTAGCAACAATATCAAGCAGTTTTTCAGTAACTAAAAAAGCTTTATCGAGCCTATTGATAAACAATTTATTGAGATTAAAAAACAAGTTTAATCCAACAAACTATTAAATAACAAATATTTTAACAAATGTAAACAAGTAGCTTATGTTCATGGACAAAATCAATCCAATATAGGAATGAACAAAACTTACACATAATTACATATTAAATAAATTTATAATCGAGTTTTAAATGAGCATATTATCAACCCATAATTGAGATTTTTAATTAAAATGTTCATATTTAGAAGAAACTGCTCATAATAATAAAAAAAGCGAACACCAAGCTAATCAAGCTTATTCATTTATCAATCAACTATTTATAAAACTATTCAATTAGTTAATCAAATGCTCATGAATGGGATCTAACTAAGCTGAGCCACAAGTAGCTTATCAAGCATATTGATTCATTTACAACCATAAACAATACTGTTAATAAAATTCACATTTAGTTTTAGAAACTACAAATAGAACAAAATAACCAGGATTTCAACCAATAAATATATTTTTCCTTTCAATTAATCTTCTATCACTTGAATAGATCTCTAAGGACTTGAGAAATCATTTTTTCTTCATTGCAATGTAACCAAATTATATATGAATCATATAAAATTATTCTAGAAAATCAATGTTTTTGAGAGAAAAGGCATTTATATGATTCGTGCTTGGTAAAAATGTCCCTTATCAATAAAAAGGGAACGAACAAGGTATGCTACAAAACAATTTCGACTACACATGATTCAATTATTATAAAAAGAATACTTTCTATAAAAAAGGCTGTTGCAAACACTTGGGGTGGAGCATAGCTTGATGCATAGTTTAGACCCAAACTTTGGTAAATATATTATTTTGTGTTGGGATCACAAATAACAATATTCTTTGACAATCTTGTATTCTAAATGAAGTGACAATAAGTTTATTTTTTCATGAAATATAAAATTACAAATGATATAAACGATAAAAAGATTATCATAGTTTAAGACCTTTGGTTCTGCAGTTCACAAAATAAATTCCTCTAAGATTGTCTTCATCCGTATCATTTTACATATATAGTGTCATTGGTTTGTATTTTGTCTCAACGTTTGAATTGATAACAATAATTTATTTTTTACACTTCCATGCAATCAATTTACCTTAACAAATATGCATTACTAAAATGTTGAATTTCTTTAATCAATTTAATAGGCATAAAAGATGTCCTAATTTAACGTGGACTGTCTCGTTTCGAATATAAGTAACTAAAAATGAACATAAAACTTAAATCAAATATAAATTTAAATTAATCAAAGCTCAAGCAAAATCATCAATTGCTTAAACTAAATCTAAGTTCTAGCTTAAAAATTAATTATATAAAATTGAAATAATAAAATAAATATTAGAAAAAAATCTAAATTCATTTTAATACAATAATTTTTAAAATTTTTCATGTAAAAGCATAAATATTGGCACCCTGGCAAAAGCAAAGACCAAGTTGCCAAATAGTGGGGCAACTTGATTTGATTTAAAATTCCTATTTTATAAATGTGTTTGAAATAAAAATTAAGAGAAAAGATTGTTAAAATTTGGTCATAGTAAGATCAATTTACCAATCAACCTTAATAACAAAAACATTCTTAAAGATTTATGCTTCATTAGCAATAATTTGAGTTTCTATGGGAATATTAGAGATATTTACAACAAAAAATATCAACATGATCAAGATGGTCTTTGCTGTATTTTTCTTTAAAGTATTTTTTATTATAGACAAACGAAAATCCCAAAAAATATTTAGGATAATCAAGTGTTTGATAAGAAACCATTGCTAAAAATGGAGTATTATTTTTCAATAACCCCTTTTTTTATCACTCTTAATAAATAAATTTTATTTACATAGACTGACAAAATAATAGAGTTGGATCAAACATGTCTACCAGAAGGGGAGTGATCTCTTAAATTATAACAAAGGTCAACTTCAGCAAATGCTTTGAAAAACTTATTGAGCCAAGCCCAAAGCCTTTGCATAAACTTATATAGCCTTATTTGAACTTAGATAATCTGGCCTTCCCATGATCAACATACCTTAGCGTTTGGTCCAATAAAATTGCTTTAATGGGGTTGTCATAAAAAATCCAGTACTCACATGTATTTATAAACTGGATAACCATGATTGATGGTGACAAGAAAAATATAGAGTGAGTTGAGTGTGAATAAAGACAAGAATGTGTCAAAGCAGTCAATAAACTTTTTGTAAATTCTTGACGGTTTTAAGTGGCTGAAGTTTATCAATAGAGCTATCAAAATGAAGCATGACGATGCAAACTCATTGACATTAAACTGGTTTAATGCCAAGAAGATTAATTTACTCCCATGTTTGATAAGTTAGAAAGGCAATCATTTCTATATCAATAGCTTGTTTTCACCGAAGATATTGTAAAGCCTCCTGGAATGTGATAGGAATACAAATTAATGACAAAGAAAAGATAAAATAATTAAAAATAGAGGAAATATAAACAAAAGATATATAAGATGGAGAAGAAAGATCGATACATTAGTGTTTACCATTCCAAATGAGAATGGCTAAATGAAGATCATACACCTCTCCACAAGGTTGATGATCGAATGATTGTGATGAAATGGATAGAGGTGTTGCAAGACAAGAATGAGGTGATCCTGTGTAAGACTACAAAGGTGGGAATATAGGTACATGCTTTAGAAGGAAGCAAAACATGTGCAGAGGATGTTTCAATGGAAGAAGATGAAGAATAATAGGGTAAGTGCTTAAGAAAAGAAACATCAACTGAAGTATATGTCTATAAGTTAGGTCATAACGACGATAGACTTTATGAAAATAGAAGTACCCAAGAATCACAAAATATAAAAAGAATGTGCAAAGCAAACACAATAAAAAAATCTAGATTGGAGTGGAAAAAGGGACTGCACTGGCTAGAGAATAATGAATGTGGTGACATAAGCAAGAATTGTAGGAAAAATATAATTAATAAGATGGCATACAAAAAAAATTGAGGATAAATATTTATATAAAATATTATGGTATGGGCTATGCTGAGTAGCTGACAGTGATTTAATTGAGCATCCTCATTCAACTAAGCCAAGGAATGAAAGCTTGATGAATGAAAGAAATTAAAAGTAAATATATTCTAGAACATTATAATATTAAACATATCAAGCATAATAGAAAATAAATTTTTATTTTTTGAGATAAGAGGTGGAAGACAAATAAAACTTTGCACTTGCCCGTAGCAAATACACCCATGTGACTCTAGAAAGATAGTCAACAAAAGTAACAAGATACTTAAACCTTAAAGGGTAACATCAGACAAGGACCCCAAACAACCTAAATAAAGTA